AACAGTTTCAACTCCTTGAGGCCAAGGCGAAAATGCCAATTCGCGCATCCAGATCGATCCTCCAACCATCAGGAATACGCAGAGACCATGAAGTGCTGCCATAACTGCATTCGTATTCGCGATAAAGTGGTGATGCTCTGCCGTCTTGCCGATCCCGAAGTACTCGAATGTCATGTACATGTAGGTCTTCTGGAGCTCGTAGTAGAACACCGTATATGCCGCGTTGTAACCAAAGGCAACCAAGTGAACTGCAAGAATGATAACCCACCACAACGCGAAGCTCCATGGCCCTAGATCGACATACTGCGAAGAGGGGACCAACGACTTCGTTCTTCCAGGCATGATAAGCGCTGCACTATTCGCTAGAATTAAAGCCCTGGTCTGAAACTGTGCGATTACATTGTGGGTCCAACGTGGCCTAAATATAGGATTTGAGGCAGCCTTGACCAAAAATTGATTTAGGTCTGCTAATCATTCGAATGACGTTCAAATCTGGTAGCCACTGTGAGGTGACTGCAATTACCCTTACTTGCCCGGTGTTTTTGATTTTTTAGCAGGCTTGTGTCGGCGTCGACATATACGCAATCGCATCCCCACATTCCTACAAAAGGCACAGTTAAACGAGAAATAGTTCACATTTGAGAAAGTACACACCTACCTGAGCAAGAGGACTGGTACGCGGTCCGGAAACTCCTGGTTAAACCTCTTAGCTGCACGAAGCATTGACTTGAGCTGATTGGGTGGGGTTGCCGTCATCGAGGTGAGCCCAATCCACTTTGCAAGCGCCTCAGCCACCTCCTTAAACACTTTCCATCGTTCTTCGGACCTCTGGGGTACGTCGATCATTTGGAAGTGTTTGTACCTGTTCATTTCCTGCTGAAAATCGACGATTAACTTCTTAACGGGGCCTTCAACGCGTCTTCCCGTCAGTTTGCCCTTCTTTTGAATAGGAAGCACAGTCTTTTCCATCATTGTCAGCAAGTCTTCCGAGTGGGTTTCGGCGTATTTCTTGAGCTTGAGGCGGGTGGATCTCAGCACAGCGTCTGATAACGCTGCCGGGATCCCCGTGAGAGTATCAGCCAGCTCTAGTACGTTGCCCAGTTTCTTGACCAGATGAACCACACACATGCCACGCATATTCCCAGCCACCTGATCGTCGGCTAAAATTGTAGCGAGTTTCCCCGCTGTATCCCGAAACAAACAGGCAGCAGCTTCATTAATTGGAACCTTACTTACCATCAACTGGAACAGGTTGTCAGTCACCTTACGACATGCTGTCAGGGCAACATGACTCTTGTTGCGTCGCATGCCTGCCTCCAAAGTGGCTGAAGCCTCTCCTGTCTTTAGCACAAAGTGTTGCAGTCTTGTAGCTACTTCCTCTGGAGATGGCGGGTTACGACCCTGGTCGATGTCTTGCTTCTCCGAATTCGCCTGCACGGCTTCATCTTCCGTCCCCGTCTCCACATCCATTGGGTCGATCGTCTCAGTCGTAAGTTCTAAAGTCTCTGTAGGGATAGCAACACGGTTTTGGCGAGTTTGTGTCACAACTGCGGCTACCAATGCCTGTAACTCGGTCTGCACGCTCTCAATTTCAGCCGCTAGCTCGTGGAAACGCTCCGAAGCTTCTTGAGAACATGGTGCGGACGTATCGAGAGACGTAGCGGCCTTGATGTGCTGCTGGGCCGCATCGACCGTAAGTGACAGCTGGTGCTGCAGGGCTTGAAGCGTGGCCAACGACATTCAGTTGAAAGATTGATCGCCAAATGCATGCCACATACACTAGTACCGTATATGACGTTAAGATATGCCCATTTGCGCCTTTATGTTATTGATCCACTAATACAGTAGTACTATTGAGCTATAATATTAAAAGCCTCAAATTTGCATATTTAAGTATTGGGAATGGTAATACTATATCGTGAAGGCGAGTTTGGATAATACCAATTCTTATTATCATTTTTTATTTATTATGTTTTGAAGTATCAAGCTGTGTATATTCTTGAAGAAATATACGTATCGTGATACTTCAAATGAGACCACGCAAAACAAAATAATACTAATGAAACTAAGTACGAATCGCGATTTAAGCACACCACGGGAAAGAGGGGCGTCTCCTCTATCTTTTGAGCACTTGGTTAGCTTCTAGGACCGAGATCTCACTGAGTTATGAGCCGCTAGAAAAAAAATCTCGTTTCCAAAATTGAAAAAGGAATTTTTTATTTGACATTCTGACGTAAACTTGTCGCGCGGAGCCAATGGTGTTGTCCGTTTATTCCAATTGTTACTGGAACATGTGCAAAACTTTAATTTTATCCACAGTTTCACATTAGTGATATGGTACCATAAGTATCATTTTGTATTATTTTGGAGACAGGTATCATTTTGACTAAACAAAATGTGTCTGTTGCAGAATAGATCTGCTTCATTTACGAACCATCTTGGGAGTAGGACGACTCTCATCCTGAACGTCCGGTCCTGGTTTGCCTTCGCTGCTGCAGCCATTGAAGCTCGGTGTTCTCAACGAGCTTGTTTGGCTGCTTTAGCGTCTTGCTGTTGCAGCTCCCTTGGCTTTGCATAGATAGGACATCTTGGAACTCTTCCGGCACATACGGGTTGATTTTGTTGTGCAGATCTAGCATTGGTTTTCGCTGTTGAGAGGAGGAGGGCTCAGGTCTTCCAGAAAGTGAGTGAACCTGCGATCTACTTTGATGTCTTCGGTGGCAACTCCATCAACGCTTCGCCGCAGATCCTGTCTAGTTGCTTCGTTGCCGGGTCCTTTGCGGCACAAAACAACTCCAGGCTGATCTTTAACCATAGATAACACCTGGTACTGCTGCACGCTTGTTAGGTTCTTGTAGAGCTCGGTCACTACTGGTTTAAAGCTCTTAAAAAATACATTGCCTCGCGAGATGTGAACGGTAGTGTTGGAGGTGGCAGAATTGTTCACAGCGGAGATAATATGATCCGTTGTCCAGCAATCCTGGCGAGAAACGTGCTTGCGAATGTGGCCGAATCCACAGTCACAAGCGTTCTTCGTGTGACCTTTCACAAAGAACTTGTAGTCCGCTCTCGTCTCCACGAACGTCGTCTTGGCTGGAGACAGGTGCTGCTCGCTCTTGACTGGAGGCAGGCGCTATATTCTCTTGACTGGAAGCAGCCTCGTCAATGTTGGTGTCTTGAGCAAGCTGGACTCTGAAAACTTGCGAGTCCTCCCCACACTCGCTGGGCGTCACGGCACTAGAGTCGCAAGCAGAGAACTGAGTGGCTGCAACATCTTGAGAGGACGACAGTGGGGGGGGCGGCGGTGGTAGTTGGCGAAGCATTGTGGACACTAATATCTTCTTGAAAGCCGTTTGGTAAATGAGTGGGTTAGCTTTAGTGACCGTTTGGATTTTCAAAACGGTTTTGACCCTTTTTTAAACTTCGTGTAGGTACGAAAAATGATGGCCCAACTTTGAACGCGATTATCTCGACAACTCTAAATGGCACATTAGTATCATTTTGTATTGGGTGGTCTCAAATATGTGATAATTCTACTAACGCGGTTAACATTAACCGAGCTTAAGTAGTAGTATCTCACATAGTACTACTAGTAATATCAGGGGTAATACATTCTTTGACGCCTATTAACTTAGTCCATAAGACTCATCGATATGCATGCTGATTGGCCGGGATGGCAAGCGACATTTTCATCGAAAGTTCTACAAGTTCGCTGTCGTTGAGGAATAAAATTTGGCTGGAAGCCAGTACTGATGATTTGGATGTTTTTCAGTGTGATTTTTTTTTTTTTGACGAAAATTGTCGTTATCGTGATGTACTGCAATAACTGTATCAATTTACTTTACTGAAAAGCACAAAAGTGTTGGCACAATTCAGTTTTCATCCATTGCAATAATTTCCGGAGTTATAACACAACTGGTTCGTTATTAAAGCGTAATTTGGACGGCGCTCTTCATTACCAGGTTGACTCGACCTACAGTCGCGATGCTGTCTGAAACTCAACGTAATCCTATGTCAATGCCATTAAATTCAACGATGATGTTTGCTCCAGTTGATGTAATCATCCATGTACAACACCAATAGACTTGTTATTCAGCAAAAAGTTCCAGAGCCCCTCACGCTCGAACGAAGAAAATCTGCACCATCACCACTTTCGAGAACTGCCATGCGAAAAGACTACTTTCTAGCCGTGGTTACGCTTGCATGTTGCAGCAGCTTCTTCGTGTGCGCCAAGACCATCGTATCAACTTGTGGTC